TAAATTAATATTAAATTTTTCAAAATTCTATATTAATTTAAAATTAAAAAAATTATTATTTTTTTGTTTTTTATAAAAAGATATGATAAAGCAAATATTTATTAAATAATATATTCTGAATATAAAATAAAAAGAAATTTTCAAATAGGTATATAAAGTAAAAAAAATATTTGCTACATATAGTGATACCTAATAAAATTACCTTTCTTAATATGATAAAATTGAAAAAACTGAAATGATGAAACTAGTTTTTTATTAATGATAAAACTATTTTACTTAATTGCTGAAATTATATTTAACTTGATTTGAATTCCTTAAATTAAAATACATTAAAAATATATAATAATTTTATATTTATTCATATAAAAATATTAAAGAGACAAATCCTTTTGACGAAACTACAATTTTCAAAAAAGAATTTAGGCAGGAGTGGGATACCACATGTGATATAATTATATCACATGTGGTATCCCACTAGTCCTAGATTATAGTATCATATGTGACCTAAATATTACATATAGGGTTCCGCAATTCAATTTGATATTTGAATATTTGATTTGATTCGATCAAATTCAAATTAAAGAATCATTTATTTGATCAAATCCAAATTAATCTTTGATTCAATTCGATTAAATTCAAATCAACTATTCAAATATTTGATCTGATTTGAATCAATAGTAAAACCATTTCCAAATCTTCAGAAATGGTATTAACATAGTAAAAAACGCCTCTGCAGCTTCGAAAATGCTTTTTTACTATGTTTTTCTTAATATAAATGCACCTGTTATTAACTTACTTTATAAAAGCTATCTTTGAAATTTTTAGTGCAATTACTAATACTTTTCTTAATTAAAACTTTATTTTAATATATCATTATAATAATTAAAAAAAAATTTGTATTTGATTTGATTTGATTTGATTTGATTCGAAAAAATCAAATCAAATTCAAATTGTTTCAATATTTGATTTGATTTGATTTTGAGGAACCCTAATAATAACATAAAAGCATGAATATCAAGAAAGACTTAAAGATAAAGCTAGAAGATAAAAGGGATATAAGAAAAGTAAAAATAGTAAATTATATGTGATATTTAGATTATATTATTCAGATTATATGTGATAATTAGATTATTGTCCAGAGCGAAGCGGAGGACTATATATGTTTGTGAATGTTAAGTGTAACTATGTCACATGGCGAAGTCCGTTTGTTCGCACACATCACATCACTGAAATTTGTGCTATATTGATAAACAAATCTGTGATAAACATAAAATAAAGGTGTTACATGATGTGTTACATGAAAGTGTAATATGAAAGTGTTACAGTACATGATAAGTGTGAAAAAAATTTTTTTTTAAAAATAACGAAGTTTGAAACTCTAATCTACAAAAATACTTCACTCTGAACTCACAACGGTTTCTGTTTCCTAGTATTATTTAGATTATATGTGAAATTCAGATCGTATGTGATATTTAGATTTCATGTGGTATTTAGATTGTATGTGATATTTAGATTACATGTGATATTCAGATTATATGTGATATTTAGGTCACATATGATACTATAATCTAGGATTAGTAGAATACTATATGTGATATAATTATATCACATGTGGTATCCCACTGCAGGTATTACTAACTATATATATTATGAATTTAAATATAATAGAGAACTCCAAAATATTTATGCTACATAGATTTTCAAATAATTACGAGACCCATGAGTTAAAGATGAGAATTGTAATTAATACGTTGCAACTTTAAATGTTGTAACATATGTTGCAATTAGTTTTAATTTATATATGTTGCAACTAATTTTAGCTTATATTGCAACAAGTTGTAAATTTGAAATTAATTGCTACACTATCTTTAGTAACAGTAAACTCTTAATATAATGAACCCTAGGGTCTGGATCTTAACTTTGTTATAAGCTTATAATGAATTTTTAAAAAATTTAATTATTTGGTTCACTATAATAAGGTAATTTTAATATATTTGATTTAAAAGTTCACTATATCAAGAGTTTGCTATATTAAGATTTGATTATATATAATATAGCTTTTAGAAAGTTTACATATAATAATATTGAATATTTTACAAAATATAATACTTTAAATTATTATTCTCTAATATTTTATGTAATGTAATATGATCATGCTAAATCTATACACATCTGAAGCTTTAGTATATTGTTGCCCTTGTAAAATCTCCAGCGTCATATATGGTATAATACTATAAATTTCATTATAAAGTAATATTCTACATATTTTGCATAGTGTAAAGTAATAAAGTAATATTTTATGTAATGTAAAGTAATGAAATAATATACTATGATATTTTGCATAACATAATACTTTGAAATAATATACTATGATAAATTATGTAATGTAATTTAATAATTGAGTAAATTGCAAGCAGACATTATATATAATTATTGACTTTAAACAAATATTTTACTTCTAACTGTACAAACTATAGTATCTGATGTTGAATTTACTAAATATAATAATATAATATAAAAAAGTTTTAAAGACAATAAAAATTTATAAGAAAAAATTAATATGGAAGAATTAGATAATGAAATTGAAGATAATATTAATTTGGAAGAAGATTTTAGAAATTATCTTTAAGGATGGGAAATATATTAGAAAAAGAAAACAATAATGATAATATTAAACAATTTGATGAAGAAAATATTTCTTCAGAATTTGAAAATATTAATCATTTAGCTATATAATATAAATACAAAATAGAAGTTAGTATCTCTTGTTAAAGAATTAGATTCACCATTTTAAATAATAATATGATTATAAAATAAAACAAAAAAAATTTTTTTTGATCTGTATAATTTATTTATTAAACATTAATTTTTTTAAATATAAATAAGAATATCCAAAATTATCTCAAATATAAATTTCATTTGAACATGAATACAGACTGTCTAATTTTGTCCTGTCTAATGTCTATATCTATGTTTAATGACAACATTAGTATAGGTTAACTAGTTTGTGATTAGTACATTCTTTAAATTCATGTCCTAAATCATTACAACTTCTGTAATGTTTAGTAAATAGTTTCATCCAGTACAAGAATTTGTCTTTGAATTTTTGCTGTAATATCTAAATCTTTGAGATTAGCAAAATTAATAAATGTATAAGATACAAGTCGATGCTGATCTTATGAAATGAAGTATGTTTTTGTTTTAATATAGGTAAGAAAATTAGCAAGTTGTTTTTGATTAGTATTAAGTAATAATCCTGTGAGTTTTAACTTAAATTGCTATCGAAATGAAGTTTGTAAAGGATTCAAATTAGATAGTTCTATTCCTATAGCAATTCTAAAAATTAGACTAATTAGATTTAGTTATAAAAAGGTTTGATTATATCAATATTCTCATAAACAATAAAAGCAATCTGTCAGGATTCATTAAAAATCTGAAAATCTTACTATATCAAAAGAAATAATTTCATAAAATGTCAGATTTGATGAATAAAGAGATATCAGAGATTTTTATGATTTTTTCTTTTTCAGCATCTTGCCTGGTTTTTTTATCTGCAAGATCAATGATTAAGAAAATCAGATTGTATTATAACTAAGGTAGCTAGACGAAATCTAGAGTTTAGACAGACGTTTAAATAATAAAGGTAAAACTTGGTTAAATTATATTAAAACCTTATTAAAAAATCTGCGAAATTCAAAAAAAGATAAAACTATATCAAAGCTTATAAAAATGGCGAAACTATATCAAACACTTAGTAAAAATTTAGCGAAACTAAAGGTTTAGATATTTAGCCAAATCCAAAATGAATTTAGACAAGCAACCTTAATTGTGACCCTTATATTTTGGTTATGATAGTAGTAAAATCTTCTATAATATAAAAATATATAAAGAATTTCCTTAATTTGAAAATATAGGTGAAGCCTTGGTATCTGTTGTAGTGTATAAAAAGAAATTGATGAATATGTGTTTCTCAGCAACAATTTTACCTTTTATGTTAGGCGCCTTATCTGTTATGTAAAAATAATGCATAGGAGCAGTGATAATGCTAAATGTAACCCCTTGTTTTTCTGATTTCACTAATTTACCCCAGACTTTGATTGGCTGGTATATTTAACTATGTTATTTGTCAGGGGAAAGGACAAATAAATATCAACACCTAAAAAAATTCTAAGTTTCCCAGATATTTAATAAAAATTGAAACACTACCAGTATCACGCCGGTAATAAATCATCTAAGCCCTAACTCTAACCCTAATTCTAACCCTAACCCTAACTAATCTCAATTATACCAGCCAATCAGAGCCTGGGGGATAAATTAGTAAACCCCTCAGGCTGTTGTCACGGGACATAGTATGGGACATATTGGGACATATAGCTGGGACATATAGTTGGGACAACAAATATCTGGGAAATCAAAAATGTACATCACTGCCCTCAGGGATGTGGTTTCGTGGTGTTGGTGTCATAGTATGAAATGTATCAATTTATAGAACTATATTTTCTAATTGTTTGTTCGTTTGGGGGTAAAGAGTTTTTTGTTTTTTTGGAAAAGAATTACTTTCGTTGGTTTCAGTAATCTTTGAAGATGAATCAGAAGCTTCACTGTCATTGGTAGAGTTAGTTCATTTGTTTTTTTTGGTATGTTCGTTGGTTTTATTTCTTAGCATTATTTTTTTTTGTCGATCTTTTTCGTTAGTTTGTTCATAATTAAAGTTCTAAATAACTTCATATTAAAAGAACCAGACGAACTATAAATCGATAGCCGGATTTATTTGCCGGTTGGTTATTTTTAGTATAGGATTAGTTAATGTGCTGAATTTGTTCTGTTCTTAGTATTCTGGGAAAATTATTATTTAAATTTTTCAGCCGCAGCTGCCTATTGACAGTTTTTCCGAAGTTACATAAGTGTAACATACAAAAATACCTTCAAATTTATAAAAAGCGGTGTTTTTAAAATTAACGTTACTTTTTGGTTGTCGTTTTCTTGGAATATATTCAATAATGGCGGAAGTTAGCCAAGAAGCACTAAATAAGCTTTTAGATATGGTAAAGTATCGCTTAGACGTATCATTATTTATAAATTTATGTGAATTTTTTCGTTAATTAAAAGCTTTTCAAATTTTGTAGGGATTCGAAAGAAGCAAAGCATATGAAGCCTTATTGGTGAATCTAAAATAAATGTTTTAAATGAATTATTATTATAAATAAATTTAAGTATAAATAATTATTATTTGCAGAAATGTGGTGATGTGGACCGTGCCGTAGAATACTATTTTAATATAAATAGTGGTGATGATATGGTATATATATTTTTACTTGTCTTACTTTTTAAATTTCGTAAATAAATAAATTATAATGTGATTTTCATTTTAGATGGCTAATCTGACGACTCTAATAGATCCATCTCCACAAACTCCAAATGAGTGGAATGAGTCTACCACTCCTCGCAATGATTCAGGTGAATTAATTAATTTGTATGTTTTAAATTACTTTATTTTTTTATAACATATTATTTATTGAACTTAGGTATTATAGATTCAGAATTTAATCATGCAATTAATGTATCCATGAACGAACATAAAGACTACCAAAGAGCATTATCGGAAAGTCTTGAAACCCGACCTCAATCCACAAGTGGAGGTTATGAATGTAAAGCTCTTGTTCCATATAATAATGGTAATAAGGTAATTAATGATATTAATAATTCATATCGATTATAAACCAAATAAAATATTTAAATTTTATTATTATTTTTCTTTATTTAGAATGACAATGATCAAAGAACCGATGATAGTTTTAATAATTGGTCGGATCCAGTACAGCCAATGAAACGTATGAAGTTGGACACAACGTACATATTTCATATTTATTATCTTTTACTTTATAACTTTCATATTTAAATAATGAATGATTCATTTTTCTTTTCTCTATCTTTTTTTTTTTTAAAAAAAAAACACATAAAATTGTGTTATATAAAGTCCGCTTGGATTAAAATCAATCACACATTATAGTTATGCCGGTTCATTGTTCCAAGCATTATTTCATATACCAATATTTCGATTGTCGATATTAGCATATCGGCCAACTCGAAAAAGTTGGGGTGAAGTGGAAGGTTATTGGAATGGAACTTCGATGGCTTTACAAGTTGAGGATGATCAAATGACTTCTCAATCATCAGACTTCTTACCTCGATCATATACCCTCAAGTGTGAGTTACAAATAATAAGTGCGACTTAATATTTTATATAATATTTCGTTATAATTAAAATTATATGGTTATAGTTATGCATGAATGTCAAAAACTTTTCGGGTTTTTGTCTTTGAGTAAAAGAACATATGGAGACGCTTTTTTCTTAATGTCCGCTTTGGATTATCAAGATAATAAGATTTGGAATGATTGGGAAGCTTCTGTTCAAGGTAATTTTTTGAAATTATTAAAAAATCTATAAAAAATATGATTTGTTAACAACTCACTCTTAACCATCTTAGAATTTGTTAATAAACTACTTAGTGTGATTGTGCGTTCATCAACGTTTCGTAACCTTATTAAACTTGAATCCGAGATTCCAGAAACTATAGAAGATTTTGGGTTTGATTTGTAATTCATTATATTTTTTTATATTATTTTATGATATCCTGTATACATAAATAAGCTCCATATAATTTTAATTAACCTTTAGATTGTTAAAGTCACATACCAGGAACGAAACCATTAGGAAATATGATGACTACAATTATCAACCTGAAAGAAAGGATGAAGAAGTTTTGAGTATAATATCCTTCTGAAATATACTTAAATTGTGCTAATAATTATGACACCACATGTACTTTGTGTTAGCCTTAATGCTTTATAATAATAAACCCTCTAGAAATCACTCCGAGTTGTAATACAATTTATGCTGCGTTTGATCGAAAAGTACGATCTAAAGGAGAGACAATGCATAAATTGTTTTTCACAGAAATTGCAAAGATTTTGATTTTAAACGTGAAACATTGTGACGGATATACTGATAATAGTTTCACATCGTCTTTTGGAAGTTCAGGATTTCAGTTTCCTAGGGAATTATATATGGATCGATATATGTTGAATAAAGCAGATGATGTTGAGAGACGATGGCAACAATTGGAGAGTCTTAAGTCAGAACTAGAAAACATAAACCAGGATATTAAAAAAATAACAGAATTTCAGGTAAATATTTGTACTAGGATAGACTTTTAATTGCACATTTACAAATATTATTACATGTTCATTAGGGAAGACATGATGGTTCAGATTTACTCAAAGGTTCGATTGATTATTTTCGTCGTAAATGCGATAAAACGAGTGATAATGGCGATAAGGATGATAAGGCGCAAAAAATATGTTCCTTCTTAGAGGGTGTTTTAGACAATGTTGAACAGAAGCTTAGAGGTGACGTCTTTTTTATTATTATTAGATCATAAGTGAAATATATATATATATATTAATTCTCTTTTGAAATTAGTCCTCTTGGAGAAAAAGGATGAAATAGATGGAAAAATTAAGGATATATTTGATACACCAGATATGAAATCAGTTGTTTATCGACTCAAGGCTGTTTTAATGCGTGATTGTCAGTTTGGACAAGGACGTTCTTATGCCTATATTAGATGTAATAAAACTGAACCCAATTATTCTAGTAACGATGAAAATGGTAGTTGGTGGAAGTTCTGTGATACGACAGTTTCAGAGGTGAGAACGAAGTTTATATATGTATATATTGTAAGAAAATTACGTATTAAATCCGTTATATTCTATAGACATCTGAAGATAAGGTGCTCAATGATATGACAGGATCTTACGTGAACTCTGGCGTTTATACTCTTATCTATGTTGATGCTGATTTCGATTATAACGTGCCTGAAATTAATGATGTTATCGACCCTTCACTTAAGGTTTGTTAAATTGACCTCCTATTTTTGTAAAAGGAAAAAACGACTTTAATATCTATATGTTCTTATATAATAATTATTATTGCTCTTTAGGACTTTGTGGAAAAGGATAATCGCGCACTTGATGATGTAGTATTTAGTAATAATGATCATGTGAATATTATAGACAATCAAGATGAAATTATGAATAATAATACAGAAGACACTCATGACGAATATATGAATAACCAAGGAGAATGGAATTCTGATTCTACATATAGTGGCGGTAATGAAGAATTAAATGATCAAAAAATTATGCAAAAGATTGATAATCAAATTGAAATTACTATAAGCCAGGCAGAAAATATGGTATCGATTCATCCAAAAATCAACAAAAGGTAACATTATACGTTTATGTTATAAAATGAAGTATAAGTTATACGTTATAAGTTAATGTAATGTGATCATTTAATATTTTTAGATTTGAAATATTTTGTATTAAGCTTGAACAAATTGATTTGTTTAAAAGCTTAATGCATAAATATTATGATACTAACCATTTAGATGTAAGTTATATTTTTTTATATATTCACACATTAAACCTTTAAATTGATTAAACTGGTTTTTAGTTGGGGTGGGATGATCCTTCTCCGCTGGATACTAGATATCGAGACGTATCACCTTATAAAGAATATGTAGAACTCTTTAACAAATATAAAAAGATAACTTTGTATTTTGTTGAAGGTTTAGAACGTATTAAGAGTGATGAATACAATCACGCGCTTGTTTACCTTAAGCATGCAATAAACCTAGAAAATGAATGGATTAACCAGCTTGTTGTAAAGGACGAAAATGGAAATTCAGTAACTCTACATGGAGAAAAATTACGACGTTCAAATGAAATTGATGCTTATGCTAGAGCATGTTTGAAGGTGCATTTTATTTCAATATTTTTATAAGCTAGATTAATAATATATGATTAACCATTATGGTCAATATTTAGATTATTTACGAAGGTGTGCTTAATGCTTTCACAGCTAAATATCTTGATATTAAATTTGTTAAGCGAGGACTAGAAGATGCATTACGCGCTTTACCTCTTCTTGTGGGATATCTTGGAGCATCAAATTGTACAGAGGATGAATTATTTAAACAACTTAAAAATCAATTATTTCGTTGTTTAAATGAACACTGTGAAGATCAGGAATTATTACTCCAAATAACTGAAAAATATAATCAACCTGATGAATCGTTGAAGTTAAAATCTCTTGATGATAGCAATTTACCTTATGATGAATATAGTTTGTGTGAACGGTATAATACACTTTTGAAAGACTGTAGTAATACTTTAAAGAAATATGATGTACCATATATTCAATAATGGATTTATTTATACAGAATGTAAGCGATAAAAGCGATATTATAAATAAAAAACTAACTTATCTAATGCTTTATCAGCCTTCATACGTATAATTCACTGCTTGTATGTTACAGAAACTAGGAATCCACACCTATATTATAACCATAACGCGTTACGTTTTTATATAAACTCGCTCCTGGTAAAAGATTATAAATTTGCAAAAATCATTAAAATCATTAGGGATCGTTGTTACATATGAAACATTTCATTTATTTAAAATGTGTCTAAACCCATCGTAGATAAATATCGTACAGTAAAACAGATAAATAAAAAGTATTAGAAAGAATAATCAATCCATATGAAAAAAAATTATAGGTAAATTTGAAAGGTGTGTAATTTTATTTAATTAACCTATAAAACTTGAATCTATTTTATAATAAGATTATTATAATTTTAATTTCTTTTTTGTACTTTAAAAGTTAAATAAAAAGTAAAATAGAAGCGAATTCTACAGAAACATCTTTTTTCTATAATAATCGTCATTTTTGGCGAAACTTATGATAAACCTAATATGCCGAAGTTTGAATTTAGGTTCCTTAAAACTAAAACCTTTAAACATTCTTCTACAATAGGGAAATTCACTTCAAAAGTTTCAAATACTTTGAGCAACTAGTGAGCATCGTTAATTTGAAATGAAATAATTCCTAATGAACATTGTTATCATAATTTGAGTCCGTCACTATTTTAAATTAACGCTGCGCCTCTTTATGTATTATCGTGACAGAAAGATTACTTAAGCAAATGGTCGGTAACATGTTTATATACGAGGTAATTAGAAAATAATGAATCTAATCATACATTTCATCGTTGTGACAGGTCGCGCATGCCATTTTAATGTTGGTTCTTTTAGTTTTCATTGTTAATGAAATAAAAGAATTGCGTTCAGAGATAAGAAATTCCTTGTATTAAGATCGGAACACTTAATGTTCTCAGATCGTATTTCTTAAATGAATGAGGGACGGGGGGGGGGGGTCAAATTAAAAGGGAGTCATTTCTGCCCTCTGCTTTGTTGTTTCTATTGCTGATTGATGCTACGGCTGGCGTATTTTTCTCTTCTTAGTATTATTATAAATGAGTGGCATATACTAAAAATGCAACATAGTATTATTAAACCATACGAAACAAGCAATATTTCAAATAAGACATAACAGATACAGTACTTTCTGCTCATACACAGATTTCATATCAATTCAAACAACTTCAACTACAGTTCCTGTTGGATTTACCAATAACCACATCCAAGGATGTGGAGTAATCGTTAGTAGCCTCCAACAAAGTTATCCGGTGTGTTAATTTTAGTAGTGCGGCACGTGCGCATGTAGGGTTGATAAAAGTCCTAAAAGTCCTAATTGGTCTTAAAGAATTTAAAGATAATTTTAATTTATTTACTTTTAATTAAATGTTTTAATAATAAATTAATCTTTTTAATAATTATTATATATCAATTGTTTTATTAATTTAAAAAATTCTTTAAAAATAATAAATATACTTATTTTAGGAAGACTTAGGTCCTAGGTTTAAAATTTTAAAGATATTTTAAATTTTAAAAAGAAATTTAAACTTATTTTAATAAGTAATTGTAATTAAAAAATTGAAAATATTTAAAAAAATTTAATCTTAAAAACTAATAATTTTTTTAAAATTAATCAGAATCAATTATGACCAATTAGGACTTTTACCAACCCTATGTGTATGTACAGTGGGTAATTGCAATATTTTTATGTCATTTACATTAATGAATAGGACGGTATTTGCAAAAGTCTCTAATTAATAAAATGCCAATATTTATTCGCCTATTGATGCAAAAGACATGAAATTCATAGCTTAGCTGCGTCTTGATGTGGCGATTCCAATAAATCATATACAGTCCAACCTTGATATAGCGAACCCTTGATACAGCGAATTTTTAAATCAAATATATTAAAATTACCTTACTATAGTGAACTAGCCAATTAAATTCTTTAAAAAATTCGTTATAAGCTTATAGCGAAGTTGATATCCAGATCTTAGAATTCGTTATATCAAGAGTTCACTGTATCGTGAAAATCAAATCACTGGTTCTCATGATAATGCCATTTAACTTTTTGCCAAAAATTATAATTTTGAACAATTTTATCAATTGTTGCATGTACAAATATTACAACGATTCAATAACCAGTGATTTAATTTTCAAGATCTTTGATTCCTTGAAATTGTCTCATTGAGTTGCAGCTAATTCAAGAATTTCATGTCTTTTACATCAATAGGTGAAAAGATATTGGCATTTAACTATTTAAAGACTTTTGTGTATCTATTAAGGCAAATTACATAAATTTCATGGAATTGATGTGTCTCAATCAGACAATTCCAATAAATCATAGATCATTAAAATCTAATCACTGATTACTGCGATAATGTGATTTAAATTCTTGCTGGAAATTACAATTTTGAACAATTTCATCAATTTTTACATGTACAAATATCACGACGTTTCAATAACCAGTAATTGGATTTTCATGATCTATGATTCATTGGAATTGTCTCATCGATTCACATCTTATTTATGAATTGCAGGTCTTTTTCATTAATGGATGAGAAGTTATTGGCATTTTACTGTTTAGAGAAATTTGCAAATAACATTTTATCTATCGATGCAAATAACATGAAAATAGTGCGATTAGATGCATCTTGACATGGCGATTCAAATGAATTATAGATCATTAAAATTCAATCACTGGTTGTTGAGATAATGTAGTTTAAAATCATGTTTTGGAGCTGCCTAGACACTTTTGGCAGGTTGGTATATTTTGTATTTTTATTAATTCATATATATTTTTAGCTTTTTAAAAGATGTCAATTTTAAATATTTAATTGCATATATTTTAATGAAATAATGTTAAATTTCTGTGTTAAAAATTATAATTCAATATTATATATACATATTAACATTAAATATATTTAATTCAGCATAAGTTTTAATTAAATTTCTGTATTAAAAATATATAATTCAGAATCATATAAATATGTTATAATAAATTTCTATATTAAAAATATATAATTCAGAACAGAAACAATGATCTCCTACTTTTAAGCAGAAATCCACAGATTTAGCAAATTATAGAAATTAACAGATTATCATAAAAAAGTATTCTATATATCTACCAATTATATTAAATCTTTTTTTTAAGAGTTATTAATTTTTTTTATACATTTTTGTGTTGAAAATGTCAAGAAAAATGACTTGCACTATGGTCAGATAAAAGGATTTTTTCAATATATAATAATATTTTAAATAACAATTGTCAAAATCTTTAAAAGATAAACATAATGTATTTTAATGTGAATTAATTTTGAAAAAATTTTATAATAAAAAAAATCAGCAGATTTTAAAAATGATGTAAAAAATTGTGGTGACGAAATGATAATTATAAGAGTTATCAAAAAATTGCAGTTTTAAGCAGATTTTACAAATTATCATTACAGAAGATCATCATATGCATCATATGTATAACATTAAGTAGTGTTAAATATCATTAAATTTTAATTCACTATATTGCATACATATTTTAGACACATTAATTAAAATAATACTATAATTTATAAGAATAAATTTTAAAAAAATAATATTGTATTTATTATTTTTTCATTTTTTGCATTATTCTTTTAATAATAATTTTGTATTTTCTTTCCTTTCACATTATTTTTCTTTCTCTTCTTTTTTTATCTACTATAGACATTTTGCAGAAGGTATTATATTTGTATTTCAATATAAAAAGCTTATCTTAAAATTTTATATAAATATAACTTTGGTTTTAATAATCTCAAAAATCAAAAAAAATTAAAATAAAGTACTTTTATAACAAATCTATAAATCTATAAAAATTATTACAACTTTAAAATGCTTTTCGTTAACAAATATCTTCATACTAAACAATTCAACATCAAACAAATAAATTTTTTGATAATTGGGAGGTTTGCTAGGAAAATGGGACTCTGAGCATTTTTTATTAAAATTTTAATTTTTATTGCATTTGAATCTAATATTATCAAAAATTAAAATACAATAAAAATTAAAATTTTAATAAAAAATGCTCAGAGCCTCATTTTCCTAGCAAACCTCACAATTTATAATAAATATATAGGAGTGTTTCCAGTAAAATCATATTACAGATCATATGATTTACTATGCCTCATAACTTGATTTTACTGGAAATGTTTCCATATCATTATACTTAAATATATAAAATATGACATAAATTACATAGACAAATATGAATACAATTATTTATTTAACTTAACAGCATTAATCCTCTTTGAGGATTATAACAACTATGCTGAAAAATATAAAAATAAAATTTAATTTTTATATTATTTAATTAAATAGCAATGCCCAATTTGTATATTTGTATCAAATATCAGCTGAAGATTCAAAATTACAAAAAATAATTTTTTTATTTTATTTTTATTTTTATTTTTATATTATTGTATATATATATTTTTTTATATTTAATTGAATAGCAAGACCCAATTCATTTCAAATATCAGCTAAAGACTCAAATTTTTAAAATTTATTTTTTTTATTTTATATATTTAATTGAGTAGTAAAATCCAGTTCATACCAAATATCAGCTAGAGATTCAAGGTTTGAATTTATTTTATTTTTTTTTTATTTTTATATTTTTTTATATTTTTTATTTTATATAATTAATTAGGTAGTGAGATCCAGTTTATACTAAATATCAGCTGAAAACTCAAGTTTTTTTAAAAAATAATTTGTATATAATATATATTATATAGTATTAATAAAATTATTACTTTTATACAAATATATCATTAATTTGTGTATAAGTGAATCAGAACCACTGAATATTATAGTAAAATAAATATTTAGTCTGCAATTAATTGCCTATATAACCTTATTATAATAGTTATCTGGTAGCTTTTGATTAATATATTGTAATATTTGAGCTAAAAGTAAGGTC